GATGCATCGGCTCGTGAATATCCTGCAGTGCTATTTGGAATGAATCCAAGAGTTAGTCACGATTCTTGGGGAAGAAGATGAAGATTCACGAGACAATTCAACTTGTTGGATGCATCACATGCTTCATTGCATCCGGTGGTAATCATGCAAAAAGGGATCAAGGATGTTTTTTAGGTGCAAGAACTTGAAGACTTTTGAGGATGTTAAATATAGCGGAAAAAACTTAGAAAATCCGTGCCCAATAATTTTAATAAAAAAACTCTCAAGAGAAAAATTCAAACAAAAAAATCGAAATCTATTGACTTTTTCCTATCAAATATTTAATAGAATCTGCGCAAAAAACAAATGGAGTTTTTACGATAATTCCCTAGAAGTTTAATAGAATCCCCGTAGAACTTCTAGAGAATTTCAATAGAATTTTCAATTTTTTTCTTTTCGGATAGTTTTGGAATGTCAGATCCATCATATTTGTTGTAAATTAACAATTTGGAACATTTCCTGAATACTTTAAGGATAATTAGTTTAATATACTGTTCTACGACGAAACAGGAGGATTCCTTAATTATAATGTTAATTAACTATGAATAAATTACCCCCAATCTCTGAAAAATTTCAACCCAAATCTCGGATGACGTCAATATTATAACGAATAAATTTCAAAAGCTAAAATGTCTACATGAAATGTAACAAGTGCATTTATCCGATACACTGAGAAGGCACTCGTTGGATGAGAGGTATCTGGGAAACGCAGTTTGACGGCTTTTTACGCTCTGATAAACTTGTAGTATATTACGGCCATCCCTCGTTTATCGGGTCGAGTCAGTAGGCACTATCGTTCAACACACGGGATGAATTATTCGCTTGGGCGAAACTCGAGAGATACCCACTTACCAGAGCTTTCGCTTTTCAAACATCATTGGTTACTTCTTTTTTGAAGTATTTATGACGAATAAATTGGAAGTTTTAGGAAAGTGCTGGGATGATGGAGTTCTACACGATCAATTATCAGGCTTGACACTTCAAACTTTTCCTGGAGATCGTTCAGAGATACGAGAGGTAGTTTATTTTAGCTGTCACGTGTAGAAGACATTATTCTGATTTTTTTAGTAATTGTGAGAGCGTCAGCTATCAATTACCTGATGATTTATTGTGATAGCTTTACAAGTTTTGCGGTGATCACACGATAAATTTGGAGATTACTACCGTAAGACGAAAAATTAGTTCTGCCGGAAAATTCTATGATTCGCCAAAAAAAAATTGTCCTGAATCAAACCGAATTATCGGCTTGAATCAAGTCGAACTGAATTATGCCGGGAATCCACTTAGTTTGAAAAAAAAAATGAAATTGGATGAATAGTTTTTGAGATAATATCTTTAAAACCACTCAGTCGATTTCGCCCATCTGAAATCTCCGCCTGTAAATGGTAAGGGCTAGAATCCTACCAAATTTCAACTTCCTATCTCAATTTTTTCAAGCGTTATCGTGTTCACATGAACTTGATCACAAATGCAGCAGTTTTCGCAGCATTTATCATTGATGCAGCAGTTTTCGAGATATTGAGAAAAGAAAATTTTTTCGGAATCGCTGTACCTCAAAAATTACCGGACCGATTGTGCAAAGAATACCAATTATGAGCCAAAATTTTAGATTTTTATCCATCACTTTAGTTTTTTTTTGTGAAAATTTTATTTTAAAAATCGCAGAATTTTTTCACGCACATACGAACGTACACACAGATATTCACACTATCGCACTACACGCGCCCATAGAGAGGAGAAAAATATGGACAACGGATTTCAAATAAGATACCTCGCTCGTTGCGCCAGAATTCAATGAAATTTTCATTTTTACGAAATGAATATCGATAGCGAATCAACTTATATGTATTTAACATTTTGAATTTGTATCACCCGCGTTCCCTTTTCTCTCTAAACATAACCCCGCGTAATAGAATGGCAGCTGATGTTGGAGGATTGTTGGTATGGATTCGAGAATAATCACAGACGAAAAATTACGATTTTTCGATAGAAAAAGTGAAAAAAAATCGATGTATAGGGGAGGGTGTGCCTGTACCGCTCAGCGGGTAATACCGCTCACCCGATTTTCCCCACAACCATCAACTTGAAAATTTCTTACTGTTCCTGATCATGAAGAATTTGATGATAGGATGTGATTGTCGGAAAAATTTCACTTTATTTACCACTTTAAATATGAAAAAACACGTAACGAAGTTTTGAGGTCTTTACAGTGCAAAATTATCGGACTTTTAATTAAGGTTTTCGATAGTTTCAAACGCTGAATTCTCATATTAAACTGTGGTTATTCGATTCGTGGTACTTTCGTGCGTAATTTGAGACCAATTCGAACTCAAAACTCCACTCATGTCAATAATTATCAACAATTTTGTTGACGCCGAGCGGAGCCGGTAATACCGCTCATAGGATCGGCCACGTAGTTGCTCGACAGCACTCGAGTACAGGTTAGGTTGCGGCGCGAGCGATACACGCAAAACCCTATGAGCGGCATTGGAATCGTGCCGAGCGGTATTACCCNTGGCATTTCCCCTTAGGTGGGCGGTACAGGCACACCCTCCCCTATTTCCTTTACTTGAAAAAAGTGGTGTGACCCCCTTTAAAGTCATTAGACCCTGATGATCACTTGGTTCGTCCCTCGCGTTTGACCCTTAACACCGTTTGATCCTTACAACTACTCTCTTTCCGTTGAAAAATGATCGGGGACATAGTTATCTTATAAGAAGCCCACGGAACATAAACATTCGGAAGGCGATAAAAGTTCCGAGAATGAGGGTAGACCTCGGGCGCTCGGAGCGCCAGGTATCTTATAGAGAGGTATGTTATACGAAGCCTCTACTGCATGTTTTTCTCATCAATCTATTCTTTCCGTGGTATAAATCTATGGAGTTCCGTCAGATCAAATGATTGACGTACAATAGATTATATTTTTTCCTGCCAACAGTTCGAATTCTGCTCGAGATATTTCTGATGATCACGATAAAAATTTAATTTTTGTAAAAGACATTAAATTTCCTTCTATCAAGTTGGCTAATTTCCCTTAAGTAATTCTATTCAATTCCGTCAAATATTCTCACGTGGAACACATAGTTTTTCGGCAGAGCTATTTTTTCTCCCAGTGTAATCATCGAATTTTGTAATTAGACTGCGTGGGAAAAATCTTGAACAAGAACGGTCAAGGTTTTGTAAATAATAATGATGATAGTTTTTCATGTAATGCAACTCTAGAAATCTTCCGTATTATTAAAAATTACTTGACATTTCGTATTCGTCACATTAATTACGGAAAACATTTTATGAAACTTCACCTCACGTGCAGAATCTGGTAATTAAATTCTCATTAGAAGAATATTCATATAAACAGGAATAATAAAAACGAGAGGATGGAAATTATTATTTATCCATTGTATTGGACCCTATCATTAAAATTTACAACGTGAAAATGGGTGGAGTACGTTCCAAAATAAATCGGGGAGTCGATAATTTCAGTAATAAAGTGGAAAGAGGATTTACGACGGCATGACTCATATTACTATTGTTAACCCGTTGCATCGATGAGCGATGCCAGGAAAATCTTGATCGCTACAAGGAGAAAAAAAAATTTGTCAAAGAATGATTTTCTTGGGAGGAGAATACTAAATAATGATGATAATTTCTTATTATTCCTTTTCTTGTATACAACCGATTGTCTTTTTTACAGTTCTATCTCTCCCCTCAGCCCTTCGATGGAGTGTTAATAGAAAAATTTTATTTACACATACTTGAATGAATTTGAACCATCACATTTGAAGAAATCATCGGAAAGCTCACTTTCAGGGAAATCCATGAAAAATTCGAAATTTTCAAAAATTATCATAAAAATCAAATCAGCCAATATAGCTATCGTAATCATCTTTTAATTTCGACTTAATGGCATTAAAACAAACATTTTAAGCAACGATTGAATTCATTTGAAGCATGATATTCAAAGATATCCCCGCAATTCTAATTTTTAAAAAATACAAAATTTTTGCAAATTTTCCAATAAATCAAAATAACGATTATTGCTATCGCCTTCATTTTTTAACTCGGTCAAAGGGACATCCAAACAAATTTTTCAAGTCATCATTCAATCAATTCAGAAAATTTTTTTAGTTATCATGGGACATCCGATTTTCGAAATAATGCAAAAATTTTAAAAGCGAATCGATGAATTAAATTTTAATTAATGGCGATCGATAGGGCTCAACAATACCTACATTTGGAAAAAAAAACAGATTCGATTCCATCCATTCATTAGCGAACAATGGAAGAAAAACTTTACCACACACATACGTACGGATACGGTCTAAAAATTGAATTTTCTGAGTTTTTGGATCACAACGGGTCGATATAACACAAAAAACCCAAAATTTGAATTTGATCGATTACAATGTTTCCATTCGGAAGCAAAAATGCAATTGTCCACTTGTTCAGGATCCATTTCATGGGGTCCCTAAAAGCAAAAGGTCGTATATGCCAGCAGTAACGACCTTTGGCCTTAGAAGATCATTTTTGGCACATGCCGCCTTCTGCTCTCAGACACGCGATATATATTGCGCTTTTTTAATGCCCCATTTGAGACACAATTCTCCCATTCAAACATGATCTCGCTCTCCCACCTCTCTCTGCTCATAAAAACGTCATAAAACCGTTGCACCTCAAAAGGAAATAGCGGGCTCCACGGGCGGCGGGGGGAGAGAGGAAGGAGGGAGCGCACTCTCACCTGATGTGATCCAGCATATCACACGGGCCTCCATCTCCTCTCTTTCTCCAGCGTCATAAAGTGAGATGGCGTTACTCATACTCTGCGGACACGATAATAACCGCACAGTGAATTACATAACAACAACAATCGGGTATATCTTTTTCTCATTGTCGTGATCCGGTCGCCATGTGGACGAGAGGGAACTGTTTTTATTTTACCTTCTGCACAGTTGTAACACAACGTTGTGCGGTGGTGGTGCACTGTAAAAATTCACACGGTATGAAATAGGTATTTTCGCGATGTGAAAAATGAAAGGAAAAACTGTTTCATGGTGGGTAGATTTTCCATGCCGATGGGAGGTATTTATCTGAGATTTCGAAATGCATTGGCGAGACAGGAAAATGAATTCACAATTTTTATGAATTTTAATATGTTTTTTGCTTCCGAATGGAAACTTTGGAATCGATCAAATTTCAGGATGTTTATCCAAAATCGCAAGTACTTGAAAAAAATTGATTTTTCTTCAACTGAGAGATGAAGATATTCCCTTCACTTTGATACAAATTTCAATCCACCAATCCATGTTCATTATTTAGAAATGAAATCGACAAAATGCACTAAATACATGCGCTAACATGCGCTTATATGGAATAGAATCATTCAAATATTTCCTCTTTTTGACCGGGCACCCCAGATTTTTCTCTGGCCATTGGATTCAGTATGATTTAATACATTACCTTCTATTTTTATTTTTATTTTTAGAGTTTTCTAGTAGGTTAATTATCAGTTTGAACATAAATTTCATAAGAGCCCGCATATAAAAAAATTAGTTTTTTCATTTCTGCCGAGACTATTGCGATTAATTTTTTTAGCGTTAAAAAAGTTTGTTTTATATATTCTGCTGTCTGCTGAAAAAATTACAGAATTTTCCTTGACCATGAAAAAAAACACATTTACCGACACTGACTAAACATCCTTAAGTTTACAATTTTTTGTGTTACGGTAACTAAATATCGGTCTAAATATGCGATTTTTAAATAGTGTTCGTATGGGCGTATGTACAGTCGAGCACTAAAGTTCGTGAACAGAATACATAGAATGCAAGGTCCGGCGGTTCACGAACTTTAGTGCTCGACTGTACACTGAGAGAAAAACAGCTGAGTTCTCAAACAAGTGTTACTTTATTACGAATTCGAGTCTTGCGAGAATTATTTGACAGAACGAAATAATACGCTAAATTTTGATGACATTTCAGTTGATGATAGTACTATCTGATATAAATAGGAGATGTCACATGTTTATTCCTGAATGTCTGAATGAGAAATCGCATGCATGGTGATGGTGATACTAATTTGGTTGATGATATTGATGTTGGTAATGTTGTTGTAGATCTACAGAGAGATGTTTTCACGCCCGGTGGCTTGGCGCAGTGGGTAAGTTCGTTGCATTCACAAGCCAGTATTCAACTTATACATATTTAATTAAGATCAACTATTGATACCTCATACAAAATAATGTTCACCGTATGGACTGAGTTTATACATATAAAAAAAGGAGAGAGGGGTAGTTCTTCTCCCTATTGCGAAGAAATTTCCCTCTTCCCCTTTCTTTCACGTAATTACATGAGCGCTTTTTTTTCACAATTAAAATTACAAACTTTTTTTTTTCTTTTTTTTTGAAAAACGTTTTACTTAATTAGAAAGCATAAAATGTTAAAAACTCGAGAGTCACTAAGTGACCATAGTTTAATCTAAAAATTCAGATATATCACGTTAATTTTTTTATATACCTGTTTTTTTAATGTAAATAACTGTAAATACTGTAAATATAGATGTGTTGTTGAATAAAAACATGGTTAAACAAAAAAAAAAGTGGGTAAGTTCGTTGCCTCACATGCGAAAGGTTCCGAGTTCAAATCCCGGCCGGGTAGAATGGTGCGATCTAATCATTTAAAGTCTTGATCATCATCGCAGTATACCCTAACCGGGTCGAAGCGATGTAAACTAACGATAAAAAAAAAGAGAGATGTTTTCAATCGCGGAAAATTATATGTAGCTTTTTCGAGAGTTCGATCATGAGATCCATTGAAATTTTTCATAAGACAACACCGAAAGAACGCCAAAGTCAAAAATTATGTCGCCAAAGAGTTATATCTTTGAGTAAATGGTGCATATATTTATATGTCTGCATAAAGACAACCGACTTGATCGTGTTTAGTATCTGAGATATTCATGGTTTTCTATCGATAACGCCCGTATAATTAACATTGAATTATTTTCTGATCTTCGATACCAACACCATTTCCAATAGAACATGTGTTGGTCCTCAATTGAAGTTTTCATGGATTTCGACGTATCTCCGACTGATTCTCAATACAAAATTTCCATCCCTTTTCAATAAAAAAAAAATCATGGATTTTCAAAATAAGTTTTCATCATTTCCCACGAATTTCTCCTTAGTATTATTATAGAAATTTATATATGTGAAATAACATATCCGTTCAAATCAACTTACAATAATAACGTGATGAATCATATAAAATCAATCATAGTGATGGGCGCGCGGAGCGCACCTTCGATCTCGTAACATGAAAAAATAGAGAAAGAAAATAGCGGAATAAGAATTTAAACAAGAGAACCAATTGGGAAGCAAATTGCTAATTTATTAACAACAATAACTAGACTCATTTATTAAAGAAATGCAATTGTCCACTTGTTAAAACAAAAGGTCTCCTGATGTGAATTCTTAATTGAAAAGGTTTGTTTTTTCTGTTGAATTATTATCGGAAGAGTGAAAGCGCCGAAGTGCCTGGGGAGATTTCAAATGGAAGAGATTTTCCGAAATTTTGTTTTATAATCGTTTAGGAGATATTCTGAATGAATTTGGAGAATTTGAATGAAGCTTTATCGATATGGATAATGTCATTCACATAATCAGTTAATGGTGGGATCATTAGTCCATTCTCGAGAGTTTGAAAATTAAAAAGTCTAATGATATCAACACTTTTCTAATTTCATGAATAAATTAATTAGTCAGATACCTCAAAAATTATTTAGAATGTCATTATTAGCTGGAGTTTGTAAAAGCATTCGAAATTCTACAGAGAAAGAAAGTTTTGATTTTCAGGAATATGTCACTGATTTCCTGGAATTATCACTAATTTCCACTGGAATTGTGTGCAGTCATCAGCGATGTTAGTGATTTTCAGGGACCCACACTGAGAGAAAAAATTAGTTCTGCCGAAAAATTATATGTTTCCCTCAAGAGAATTTCATCATATTGAATCAATTTACTTGTAGACAACAAAAAAGTTTCCACCAAAACATAATAATTTTCGTAGTCGTAATTGTTCGCATAGACATTTATATGTCTTTCCGGTAAATACACTCGCTCTACAGGGAATTATATGAACCTCCGCTTTTGTCAAGTGAATTTCTGATGATCACGACAACAATTTAATTTCTGTAAAGATATTAAATTTCGTCCATCGAGTTGGTTAAGTTCCCTCAAGTAAAGCTGTTCCACTCCATCAAATATTCTCACCTGAAACATGTGAGCTATTCACGGTAAATGAGGGGGGCGGGGAGGGGGTACTAGAAAAATTGTCTCTAAATTTTTTTCGGATTTTTTCAACAACCCATTTCGGAGATATGATTTTTTTCTTAGTTTTTTCGTTTTTTTTTCAATAACTCCAGTTCTATTCATCCGATTTTTATTTATGATACGTCAAAATCTTCAATTTTCTACCATCTGTAAAAATAGTTTGAGTATTTTTTTCGTACCCCTAGGTACTCATAATACCGAATTTTCAAAAAAATAAGTAGAAAAACTAGGATTTTCAAAATTATGTCACGTTTTATTTTTTTCGTTTTTTTTCACTTACTTTTGTAATCAAAACAAGTATTTTGAGGCATCATACAAGTTAGGTTTCGTCCTAGATCTATTTTATTTTCAATTTTTACTTCTCGAAATTCCACGAATTTGGTCAAAATACCCCAAAATGGCGTTGATTGATTATAAACAGTATGAAGTGAATTGAAATGAATAATTATATATGTTACATATTTTTTTGATACATAATCGAAGTTGTTTTGGGGTGTTTTGACAAAATTCGCGGAATTTTGAGAAGAAAAAATTTTAAAAAATAAATCCAGAACGAAAACGAATTGTGTGACAGCTCTAAATGCTTGTTTTGATTATAAGAGATATTGAAAAAAGATGAGAAAAATAAAAGGTGACATAATTTTGAAAATTGCAGTTTTTCCATTTTTTTTTTGAAAATTTGGTTTTATGTCACCTAGGGATTAAAAAAAAACATTATCGAGAAGCTTCTTGTAAATGGTAGAAAATGGAAAATTTTGAGCCATCATAAATTAAAATCGGCTGAATACAATCCGAGTTATTGAAAAAAAACCGAAATGGATTTTCCTCGAAATCTGAAAAAAATTGAAAGATAGTTTTTCTAGCCCTCCAATCATCGAAAAAATCGAGATCAATTTCCAAACAGGTGAAGGTCAGCCGTTTACTCATTTGGCATGGAATACCTCATATAGTTTTTCGGCAGAGCTAATTTGCAATGTTTGCAATACCATTAAATTTGCAATATCATTAGACAAATGCCGATTGTCTCAATCCCATTTAATAATTTTTTGTTCAAATGAATTCCTCACAGTAATTCCTAGAATTCATCAACAACAATTTTTCCATCTCCAGTTACACACCCATTTGAGAAAAAACACACCTTACCACACACACGTCATCCCATATTTCTGTAATGCACACCGAGCAGTATAATCTACCCTCAATTGAATCACGGGAAAACAACGCACGCCGGCATTAGAAAGAGAGCCCATAAGTACACCTTATTACTTAACTTTTATTTAGTGTCGTTAGAATTTTCGTCATAGCCAATTACTACGTAACGCCCTTTCTCCAGGTGGCTTTTACTGAAACTTATTAGGGGAGGGGCTGCCAAAAATGCGTCATTTCACGTACGTAAAAATTCAGTAAAAAATTTAAACGCATTTGTTGGAAAATTCCGTTGGAGTTCGATTTCTTTTTCGCCGATTTCCTTGAAAAATGTTGCTTTTTCTGCGCGTTTTTTTTGGAGACGAATATTTGATATAAAATATGACAGGGAAAAATCAATATAGATTCGATCTATAAAATTCATTCTATTGAACATTTCTATTTTAAAAAATGCGTAACCGCGGAATTCATTGAGCTGAAATTTCGCCTAGATGTACTCTCAAATAATGCCAATTATTCCACAAGATTTCAGATTTTTGGCTTCTACTTGACTCCTTTTTTCGTGAAAATTTATAACAAAATTTCGAAAAATCTGCGCACACATACTGACATACACGAAACAAAAATGTACTTGAATTGAGTATAAAATATACTTCATTCAAGTATATAATATAATATATATAATAAGAAGTATCTTAATATATAGCTCAACAATGTTAATATAGTACATTACGCAACTAGTGCGGAAAGCAGGCGGTTACTGAGACCGCCTGCTGTCCGCACGTGTTGCGTATACTATTTTATATGATAAGTGCGTGATGAAGTCTGGGG